TTTAGAAAAATTTGCAAGAGTAGAGAAAGTATAATTTCCGCAAAATAAGTATTCACCAATAGAAGCAGCACAAAGAAAATGTAAGGACAGGAGATTTAACATTTAGTATCTACATGGAAAAAAGAAAGTCCACTCTCTCTATTCCCCTGTCTCCCCCATCCTCTATATTCTCTGGTTTAAAAGCCTTCAAGTCTTCCAGGAAGCCCACTGCCTAAGGGAAGAAGCCCAGACAGCTCTGCCCAGCACTTGAGGTTTTGATCTAAGTGGTTTTGATCTTCCTTTCAGGTCTTGCCTCTCATTGTCACCTTTACTTCCCACCAAGGTGTAGACAAACTTCTCTGTTTATGCACTGAATATCTTCTAGCCTTTCCCACTTCTCAGCTTTTGCTGCTGCTGTTCCCTTTGCATGTATTGAATAGCATGGATCCTTATTTTCCTGAAGGTCAAGCTCAAAACTCCCTCCTGATCATCAGCTTCACTGATCATCTATCCAAATGTGAACTTTCCCACTTTCCAAATCCATGAAATTCCACTTTTAATTACTCATAAGAAGTTTACCACATATTAATATGTCAGTTATACTAAGAGCAGTTGCTACTGCCATTTACTAAGTACTAGCTACCCTAATAGGCATTGCAAATTTGCACTCTCATTTAGCTATATGCACGATATTTCTATTTGTATGGGAGTTAGTTGATCCCATTGATGGAGGATCAGGGCAGAAAAGTTGGAAAGGGGGTACACAAGACCAGAAACCTGGCTCACACAATGCCAGAAGCTGGAAGTGAGGGTGTAAGTGATTAACATAACCATGAACCTAGCTATAGGAACTGAAAAATCCTTCAGCACCAAGGCATAGATCCAAGCAAAGTGTCAGATCTATTAGTGTCATAGGGTGCAGGCCAGAGGTAAATATATGGAGATTGAGGGCAACCGTAGAATCTCAGGTCCCTTTCAAATTCTACATAGTAATCTAAAATCAACAGCCAACAAACCACTCCACAAAGGAATGAGCCCCTCTCAAAGAGAAGAAGGCTGTATCAGGGCAGTCTCTGCACTGGGTCGGGGCAGCAGTTCTTCTGCTCACCTGTGTCTATGCAGATGCTTCTTTTCACCAACTCTCTTCCTCTGCAGCCTTCCTGCCTGCCTGTGACCTATACCATGCCAGGACTTCTCCTCACTGACCTCCCTCAGCAGAGGCGGCTCTCCTAAAGGCTGCCCGCCCTTGACCATGCAGGCCTGTCTATTAGCAAACCTGTCCCTTTGGGGGCAGCTCTTCCTGCCTGTTTGTGTCTATGCAAGTGTCCTTTATTCTTCTCTCCCTTTTACAATAAACCTTCCCTTTTGGATATAACTAATGTCTCTGTGTCAGAGACACAGAAACTTATCTTGGAAACTTGCTGGTGTTGCTGAAAGGTGAGCTCTGGTGAAGCTTTTCCCAGAGTGAACCCAAGGACCCCACTCTCTGAACACATCTCCAAAAATGACTTCACCACGAGTTGTAAATTCTTGAGAATGAGGACACAGGGCAATGCTCAGCACCTTATGATAAATTTCTGTATGATAAAATGCACAGAATGAAAAGCTAAAGGCATAATAGATATGTAACCTTCTTCATTTTAACCTGTGCTCAAACAATGGGTTTCTCCATTTTTTTTTAAACTGTTCAGAGATGCTAGCAAATGAGGGGTCCCGTGGGCTCTCCATTCTGGTAGACAGCCAGCGTGCCAAGCTGCCTTTCCACATGGTCACAACCAGCTGAGTAGTGTGCTCTCCTCACACTGGTCTGGGCTGGAACCCCAAGTTCCTGGCTGTCAACATCCTATATTTAAGTTACCTATCTGTCCGGCTTAAAAAGCTGCCTGGGATTTTATGACAGAGCTAAATATCTCTAAAGGAAAATTCAAGATGGTCAAATTAGTGGAATGAAGCTGTTACATCACTAGACATTTTCAAGTCAGGTCCATCGGTGTCTGTGGGCCATTTAAACATGTAAAGTATCCAAGTGTATGTTCCTGGCTTTGGTTTCTTTGCAGCCAAATAGCTTATCATCACTGTGAATTCTGTTGGTTGATTTATAATTCTGTACAAAATCTTGGCATCTCAACTAAGAGTTTTGGGATGTTGTCTAATTTTTGGTTTTGGCAAGGATTAATCTACCTAAACAGGTGCATACTTCATTTCTGTCACTCAGGACAATCTAGAGGTGGAAATGAATACTTTAGGAGGCCATAAAAGCAAGTTATACCTCTTGCCTCCCAGAACTTCCAGAAAATATGATTATCAGGTTATAAAGAACTAGCACAAAAAGAAAAATCAAACATGTGATGATAAGTCTTCACTTCTTGGGCATAAATCTAATAATTGTTTATGTTGAACAACTAGAGTTTACCCAGAAACGGTGAGAGCACCAGAATGACACATGATATCTGAAAAATTCTGTGCCTTTTAAAAATAACAGTGTTTCTAAAGCAAACAGCTTCCTTGGGGAACAAACTTTCTAAGTACATACGTAGAATCAGTGTCCTTTTCTTTCTTCCGTATTCCAAAGGCCTTTCTTGTACGTTTTTTCAATCCTGTGGGGAAAAGAACAAAGGGTCAAAAAATCTGTTTTTTCTTTGGATGTTCTTAGCAACATATTTAGCAACAAGTGAACATATTTTTAAATTTGCAGCTCACCAGTTACATTTGCACATTGCAAAAGCAATGAAAGTTTCTACACTTGTATGAGTGCATGCACGTGAATACTACTCATTATTATATTTTTTAACAGATTTTTTCAAGGACCTAACACCATAAGTTCTTAGTGTGATAAGCAAAGTAAGAATATCGAACTATGAGAAGTAGATCAGGGTCACATAAAGAAATGATTTTATGCTTTTCTAGATGACTATTATTCATCACACAAATCGGGACTCTGCCCAGAAACCAAATCACAGACTTAGAAAAATAGCAGTTTCCAGGTTGGACCTATTTGTGAGGTGGAATAATTCTAAAACACAGATTTTATAAACTCTACCATGAGAGCTATGTTGACCTGACACATCTTTGTACCCTATATCCCATCTCATCATTTTTTTACCCCAACTCGGCTAGACTAGACTAGATTATTAACCATTCTTTGAACATGTCCCAAGATCTATACTCTAGTGTCTTTCTTCCAATGTGGTCCTTGCTTCTGGTTGGTATACCTTTTTTTAAAAATACATATTTAGAACTTTAATTCACCCTTCGAGGCTCAGCCAGATGTCCCCTTCTCAGTGAGGGCTTCTTAATCCTACTGATGTAAGATACTGACTATTCTGTGCTCCTCCAAAATGTTGCTCTTACATGCATTGTAACTTATCCAACTGTGTCACTTCCCAGTTATTTTTTTTCAAAGATTTATTTATTTATTTATACAAGAACTGGGGTACAGGCCAGATGCGTGGGAGGGTGAGAGGATTCACCAGAGACAGAGCGGGGAACAAAACAATCAGACTGATGAAATACACTGCTGAGGGGGCCAGCAGGAGCGACAGGAGAGGTCTGCGTGCCATGTGGGACCCTTGCCGGCCAGCAGGGATTGAACCAGCGCTGCAGAGGCTGCTGACAGCTTCACGGTGCTGTGTTCAACCACTGCGCCACCAGGGGAGGCCCACTTCCCAGTTCTTATGTCAGTTTCCTTCATAGTCTGTCATCCTTTCTAGGTGAGAGGCCAAGGCTCCCTCATTTGTATGACTTTTATACCTAGAATAGATAATATTTCTGTGTTCTACCATTTTTATCTTGTCAAGATTCTGTTTGTGATCCCTACCATTGCCATGTTCCACAGTTATACATGTGGCCCAAGTATCTTGTACTACTGAGTATTATTCTAATATTATTCTACTATACTAAATGCCTATATATTTATAACCTTATACTCATCACTGGTGATTTGGAAAGTCTTTTTGACAAAATGGGGCTGGAAAAGTTATTGGCTTTCAGGATTTGGCAGAACCAGGTGGAACAAAGGAAAAACACTGACAGAATCAGCCGTTTGATGACACCTTTTTCCAAAACAAGTGAGTCAGTCCAGACTGCTCAGATTTTCTGAGCCATTTATTATCTGGCTCTTAGGATACTATTCAAATATAATCTCCAAAATGCCTTTATTCAGTCTAGTTTTGCATTTTAATAGTCATTCCCATAGATATAACATGCCCTACCAAATATATCAGAAAATACACAAAAAATTCAGTAATTCTTGCAATAAATTAGTAACAGCAGGAAATAGTAATTTTCCATAGAGTCTGTCCAGATTTTGAGGGCCAAATATGTACAACAACAGCCAACATGATCTTGGTCACGAACATCAGAAGTTGTCTATTTCAAGTGAAAAGTGGCCTGGGTCAGGATTCAGGATATAGTCCCTTCCCAGCATTATTTCTAATTGTGTAGCTTAATATAAATTATATTTTTTTAGTGTTTCAATCTCTCAGTGTAACCAGAAATCAGTTAACAACTTTTTATAAACACATTTTTTATTATGTTGCTTTGTTCCTCTTTTCTCATAAGTTCAGAACCTTGCATCCATCCCCACTAGGAGCAAGTTCCATTAAGTCAGCCGCTGCATCCAAGCAGGTGTCTGTCTTAATTTTCACTGCCCATAGTATTAGTATTCACTGCCCCCACCCCCCACAATGATTTACTCAGTTATATTTTAAAAAGAGGCATTCTGGGGCCTCCCTGGTGGCGAAGTGGTTGAGCGCTGGGTTTCAAAGCTGCCCGCAGCCTCTGCAGCACTGGTTCGATCCCCGGCAGCCAGGTGAGGGTCCCACATGGCACGCAGACCTCTCCTGCCGCCCGCTGCTCCCCTCAGCAGTGTACCTCGGTCCTTCTGCCTGCTCTGCTCCCCGCTCTGGCTCTGGTGAATTCTCTCACCCTCCCGTGCTTCTGACTGTACCCAGTGCTTGTATAAATGAATAAATAAATCTTTAAAAAAAAAAAAAGAGGCATTCTTTTTCTTTTTTTTTTTCTGGGAGAGAGTGTAAACACTCTCCCTTGCTACCTTGCTACCACAAATTATGCAGTCAAGTTTCCTGCATTGGGGAAAATCGCAGGGGGCAGAACATCTAGTTTGTGATGGGCAAGCCTCGCCCTAGGAAAACCACCTTCATGATCACAGTGTTTCCCCTGTCAGGTAAGTATGAGAGAGACATTATTTTTCATCTCTTTTTCAAATTGCAAGGCCCATTGGTACCTCTTGAATCAATTTGTTAGGGTGAATCTGCCATTAAAAAAATGAAATATAAGGGAAAGCCTAGGTGAGCACTCTCCTTAGGAAGGATGCAGCATCTGCCACAGATGTGTGAATGGCTATTTAGGGTCAGTATGTAAACATAGTTAACAGAAGAACACAAACCATCCTCTTTTCTGTCTTCCCCAGAGGAACGAAGACAGAGTAGAAGGGAAAAGATGCATATTCTTCTTTGGAATTCAAAAATCTAGGATCAAATCCCAATTTGACCTCTTGCTGGTTGTCATTTGCAGTAAAACTTATAGAGAATCTATGAGGCACTACGTAACTCACATGTGACTTATATCCTCCCTGGGCATAAAGCTTGGTGGGACATCAGTTTCTCTGTGTCTGATAAGAAGAAGAGAGGACAAGACAGCTCCTAGTCCTGGAGTACCTGGTATGTCCAGGCACTGTGCTAATCACTTTAATGACTAATCTTTCAATAACCCCAGAAGTTATTATCAACCTCCCATTTTATGGATTGAAAACAGACTCAAAGCGATTACATTTCAATTCTAGGAAACCTAAACAAGCGAGGGGCAAGAATAGGTCTGTTTGGCAATTTCTCACAGGGTGGACTACTTCTTGCATTTCCCAGGGCAGTGACAGGCATGTGGTAGAATTAGTATTAACTTTTTTAAAAGTTACTCAATGTTTGTATAATAACTAAAATGAACAAACAAAAATCAAATCGATACTTTCCTTCATTTGCAGTTTATATTCCATTGATGTAATTTTTGATATTCATTTGTGTATATAGAAGGATACACAGGTAGTTAATGGCCAATTATCTGTTCAAAGTTCCCTCTGCTTTGCTCCAGAGTCCATGCTCTTAGTTTTTGGGAATATCTTTTCATCAGTTATCATAGGTTATTTTGTCTTCTTATTTAAAAAAAAAAACCTGTTTTTTAAAAACTGACTTTTTAAACATTAAACTGCACATTTCCTAAACACAAAGATTGATTTTTTTTTTTGTTTTTTTTTTGTAGTTAAGTCTTTGTAAGTCACCTAGCAACCAAAGGGGACCTAATGAATGTTTGCTAAATGAATTATTTCTATGATAAATGTAAACTTTCTGCTAAGTCTTCATCAGTTTGAAGGGTTATACAAAGGTGAATCACATGTAATGGAATTAGCTATTTTCTGCAGGAACCTGGGCCAAACATTTGGTCTCAGTAATAAAAAAACAGGCAAATTTAATTGCCCTGGGCATCATGCCGCATATTGACAGCAACTCTAGACTGACAATATCTATTCATTATGATGTTCACTGTATTTCTGTCAGGAAAGATTAAGATGCTTTGCATATCAGCTCTTTCTCTTAGGTTTAAATATAGCAATATAATCCAATTTGGACTCTGTCATAAGAAGGTCTTACACAAAGATGTAAGACCAATTAAGAGGTAGGTCAGTCCCTCCCATGAAATTTTTTTTTTTTTTTTTTTTTTTTGATGTATGAGGTCTGGTGGCTGGACTACTTCTTAGGATACAGGAGATGCTTAAAGATGAGTACCAGGAAATATGAAAAGTCAAGTTTGTGTCTGGCTGTACCTGGCACATGCCAGTCAATAAATATTTGTTTTTGTTTTATCTATTTGCAATTCTAACCAAAATTGCTACAAGTTGATAGACATGGGCTCTTCATTCTGAATGCTTTACCTTTCATTGTGTGTGTCTCAAAGGGAATCTTTGTACTTAGTAAGCACAAAGCCTCTTTACAAGATGGTACACCATCATTCTGAGCTAAGTGAATTGGAGGGAAATGTGCATTTTACTGACATAATAGTACTGGTTTGCAAAAAGAATACGATATGGATAGCATCTTAAAGTTCAGATTTGATATATGGGACTCCATGTTATGCACTATGATGGAGATTACTAGAATAAGAAATTCAGGGGGGACTCCTTGGTGACTAGGGTTTAAGTCTCAGTGCTTCCACTGAGATGGCTTGAGTTTGATCCCCAGCCAGGGGGCTAATCCACATATGGCACAGCAGACCTCTCCTGTCTTGCTCGCTGTTCCCTTTAGCAGAGTATTTCAGTAGATCCACCTGTTCTGCTTTCCACTCTGTCTCTGGTGAATCCTCTTAGCCCCTGAACCTCTGGCCTACACCTCAGATTGTCTATGCAAAAAATAGTCTTAAAAAATTCAAAGGATCAAAATAATAATGACCATATTTTTAAAATTATTTTTGAACTTTTGGTGACATGGAAAAAAAAAATTAAGAGAAATGGTCATGGAACAGGTTTGCCACAAAAGGATTTAGTGTTTGCTATGCCAATGTTAATGTAACAAAGAAACTGTACTAAGAATTTAAAGTAGATGGACAATTTTCATAAAGCTTCAAATACAATAGCTAGTTCTATGGGAGACACCTGGCATTGTAAAGAAAGTGTGAACTTTGAGCTTTGAAAGATTTGGGTTCAAATCCCATCTTCACCATCTTTTGATGCAAGTTCCTTAATGTCTTCCAGTCTCAGCTTTTCATCAACTGACCACAAAAAGTTTTTGTAAAGTTTAAATGTGTACAAACACTTGCAGACCTAAAATACATTGTGCATTACTTTAAGCAGTTTGAGAAATATAAAACAACTAGAAACCCGCTATTTAAATGATTGCATAACAGCAACTACATGTCTGATTTCAATACTTAGAGCAACCCATAACGCTATTGCATTAAAAATAAAAATACAGCATCAACAATTAAAAATAATCAAATCTTCAAATTTCAAGCTTTCCCTGGTGTAAGAGGCAGAAACAGAACACAGGGCAGGTTTTCTGATCCCATGCAGACCGGGTAAAGGAGGAGTCAGAGTCCTCTGTGGTTTTGCAGGTTTTTTATTGGGGTTCACCAGGCATATGGCAGGCAGGGCTGCTGGGGGGCCGGGAGGCTGGCAGTCCTCCCAGCCCCAGCAAATCCTCACTCTATCTGGGCTCTCTGGTGTTCTCTGCTTCTGCTTCTTCTTCTCTGCTTCTCTCTCGGCTTCTTTTTCGGCTTCTGCTGCTGCTGGCGTCCCCGTGACGCCGCCCTTAAAAAGCCCAGTCTCAGCCCAGGTGAATCCCATCTACCTATGCCCACACCCTACTCCAGGTGCCCGCCATCAGGCATGCATTCAGGACCGCAAGGATCCATCATCTATCCTGATGGCGGGAGGGCAGAAAAGCCTGATATTTTCTTTACCTTACACCTGGTTAAGCTATTATGGAAAAACCAAATCTGGCCTCAAGAAATGTCATTTACTAACATCTACCACACAAAGTAAGTGGGGATTGAAAGACTCACAGAAAGAAATACAACTATCTCCCGCCCCAGGAAAGAATAGCATTAACAAGGACTTCCTTAAGTGCAAGTCTGTTACAAATTTTCATCAGCTGGTCTTCCCACCATGATCTGAAAATAAGCCAGTGCTGTTTCTTCTTGGGTTAGCAGTATATAGAATTTGGAGTTTCCTGTTCCCAGCCTGGTGATGAGACACATTAATTCGGTTGGAAAATAATGCTTCAGTACTGGAGAAATTTCTATGCAAATCAAGTTCTGTAAAATGGCTTCCTTCTTATTCTCCTTTTCTTGCTCTCATTCTCTTTTCCTATATTCATTGGTTTTATTCTCTTTCCTCCCCAGCCTGACATTGACATACGCACAGAGCTGAAGTTAATGATCCTGTTCAGATAGACTCTGGTTTTCAGTCATAAACAGAAAAATCAATTGAATTGCAATTCACTGAATCTCATTTTCAAAACACTCCATTTTCAGTAAGAAAATAAAACCAAAAGAAAGCAAACTGGATGATGACAGAAATGATTTTCATATGCCCTTGTCTTTTTGTATTTCATTCAGAGAGGAAGGAACAAGTCTTTTGGTAAAATCTCTACATGTTCCCATTAGTACTTTGAGTTAAATTCTTTAAAGTTCAATAAAGAAAGAAAGCTGAAATATGCTGTACATAAAATTCTTTGGCTTAATTCTAACCTACTATGTGGAGGCCCGAGAGGTTGGAAAAGAAGAAAGGAGCTTTACATGGTAATGCTTAGGCAACAACCACAGACTACTAGCCAATTTTATTTAGTAAGAATCCATGAAGCCTACTTCCAAAGTGGAATAGAAGTGGTTAAAAGTTAAAAATACATAACTTGGGGTTATTTTTAAGAGAAAGATCAACAGTTATCAGGTAATCTTACAGAAAATAAAGTTCTAAAAGGCATCAAAATACAGAATTTAGTTCTAATTTCTTTGAGTCACCTTAAAGGCTGTTTGGAGGCACGTGGTTTGATTCTGTTTGCAAGGTTTATACTACTTCAAATGGTCATTCCTGTGTTTATACACCTGTCTTCTACCATCCATCCATCCATCCATCCTTCTATCTACCCAGCTACTCACCTGTCTATCCTTTGGGTATAAATTCTAATAGGTAACAAAGTTCATTGTCACAAAATTATTCCCATTGCATAACATAATTCAAGTTTATTTATGTTGCAATGAATACTCTAAATCTATTCTGATAGGAGGTAGGAAATATCAAGTCAACCCTCTTAGGGTTCAAAACATTCAAAGTTACATTTGCTATTGACAAATGGCTCACTCATTATAGGTCCTCATATTTACTCAGCAAACTCAGAAGAGCGTTTTTTTTTTTTTTTTTTTTTTTTTTTTTTTTTATCATTGGTAAGTATTCTCTTCACCAATCTCCTAGTATTGGGAAGGTGTTATAACTGTAGCCTTAACTCAATATCTAGAGTCATGCAAACTCAGGGGTACTTGGAATCACTATCAGAAGATCCTTCATTGCCTCATTTAATGTTTGCTAGAATAGGATCCTGTTGAACATCTATTAGATCTCTTATCTTAGTCCATAATTCTTCTGGCTAGAGATAGAAATATAGTATCTAACCTTATTCTTGAATTATGTG